CAGTATTTGATCCCTCTGACCTGGTTCTTGACCCAATGTGGAGACAGGGTATGTTCATTATACCCTTCATGACTCGTTTAGTAATAACCAATTCATGGGGTGGTTGGAATATCACAGGAGGCACATATTATGTTTTTGGTCTTGAGGTATATTAGGATCTAGAAATCTTTTGTTATGAACGTACTAGAAAACCTTCTTTGGATTTACCAAAAATATTTGGAATTCATTTATTTCTTACAGGGGTGGCGTGTTTTAGTTTTGGAACCTTTCATGTAACAGGATTATTTGGTCCTGGAATATGGATATCCGATCCTTATGGACTAATTGGAAGGGTACAATCTGTAAATCCTGCATGGGGTGTGGACGGTTTTGATCCTTTTGTTCCGGGGGGAGTAGCCTCTCATCATATTATAGCAGGGACATTGGGCATATTAGCGGGTATTTTCCATCTTAGTGTGCGTCCACCTCAACGTTTATACAAAGGATTTCGTATGGCAAATATTGAAACTGTCCTTTCAAGTAGTATCGTTGTCGTATTTTTGCAGCTTTTGTTGTTGCTGGAACTATGTGGTATGGTTCAGCAACTACCCCAATTGAATTATTTGGTCCCACTCGTTATCAATGGGATCCAGGATACTTCCAACAAGAAATATATCAAATAGTTGGTGCTGGGCTAGTCATAAATCAAAGTTTATCAGAAGCTTGGTCTAAAATTCCTAAAAAATTAGCTTTTACGATTACATCGGTAATAATCCGGAAAAAGGGGGTTTGTTTAGAGAGGGTTCAATGAAAAATGGAGATGGAATAGCGGTTGGCTGGTTAGGGCATCTTATCTTTAGAGACAAAGAGGGGCGTGAACTTTTTGTACGTCGTATGCCTACTTTTTTTGAAACATTTTTGGTTGTTTTGGTAGACGGAGACGGAATTGTTAGAGCGGATGTTCCTTTTCGAAGAGAAAAATTGTAGTATAGTGTCGAACAAGTCGATGTAATTGTTGAATTCTAAGGTGGTGAACTCAATGGAGTCAGTTATAGTGATCCTGCTACTGTGAAAAAATATGCTCGACGTGCTCAATTGGGTGAAAATTTTGAATTAGATCGTGCTACTTTAAAATCAGATGGTGTTTTTCGTAGCAATCCAAGGGGTTAGCTTACTTTTGGACATGCTTCATTTTCTTTGCTCTTCTTTTTCGGGCACATTTGTCATGGTGCTAGAACCTTGTTCAGAGATGTTTTTGTTGGTATTGATCCAGATTTAAATGTGCAAGTAGAATTTGGAGCGTTCCAAAAACTTAGAGATCCAATTACAAAAAAACAGGGAGTCTGATAGAAATAAGTTTGTTCCTTTTCGATTCAACTTTTTTGTTGTTATTTGAATTTGATATAGGGAACTAGATAAATATTGATTTCAATCATTCCATTTTTTATACGCTGGTTCTTTCTTTTTCTTTATCCAGAAGATATCCCCCCCAAAATAGGTATGAAAGCTATAATTGTAAACCACAATCAAATCTATGGAAGCATTGGTTTATACATTCCTCTTAGTCTCGACTTTAGGAATCACTTTTTTCGCTATTTTTTTAGAGAACCCCCTCAAGTTCCAACTAAAAACATAAAATGGTTTTTAATTATCTCAATTAAAGTAACGAGCCTCCAATATTACGATATTGGGGGCTCATTACTTCAACTAGTCCCCGTATTCTTCGAATGGATCTCTTAGTTGTTGAGAGGGTTGCCCAAAAGCAATATATAAGGCATACCCAGTAAAACTTACAATTAAACCAAATATAGAGATGGCAATTATGGTTGTTGTTTCCATGATTATAGAATATCATGAATACAATGGATCTATAGGGTACGATCCTTTATGTACAGCGGAATGGTATACAAAGTCAACCAATCTTAATAAAAAAAAGATATATGGGATTTATGGCTACACAAACCGTTGAGGGTAGTTCTAGATCTGGTTCAAGACGAACTATTGTAGGAGATTTATTGAAACCATTGAATTCAGAACATGGTAAAGTAGCTACGGGGTGGGGAACTACCCCTTTGATGGGGATTGTAATGGCCCTATTTGCGTTATTTCTCTCTATTATTTTAGAGATTTATAATTTGTCCCTTTTACTGGACCAAGTTTCTATGAATTAGAGAATTAGATTCACAAGAACCAACTAACTAGCTTTTCAATCAAAAAGTAAAGTTTAACATTTAAATAATTAATTTTTATCCCGTTCCATTTTGATTTGGTAGTTCGACCACAAAACTTCTTTGTTTCTGTATTTCCGGAATATGAGTGTGTGACTTGTTATAACGTATCATATTGATGGTACATAACAGAAAATGGATACGTCATCTTATATTGATAGATGGCTTTCCCCCGTCAGATATTTAATTTGGTATATGGAGCACTTAATATAGAAAATAAATAGATTCTAAAGTGTTAGAACTATGATTCATACTTCATATTTATATTTATATTTAGACCTCGCAACCGGACGAAGAAAAATTAAAGAATTATAAGAATTCATTTAGAAAAATAAATGGAATTTTATTCTTTAAAACTGCCACCGCTTATCATTTCTTTGTCTTTTTTTTCATTCTATCTATTAATTGAGAAAGTGAGAAAGTTTAAGACTTTCTATTACACGTATTCGTTTTCCAAATAACCAATATTTGAGTATTTTTGTTTGAGCCGTACGAGATGAAATTCTCATATACGGTTCTCAGGGGGGTCCCTTGGTTTACTAATCTCAATAAAGTTTATGATTGGTTTGAAGAACATCTTGAGATTCAGGCGATTGCCGATGATATAACTAGTAAATATGTACCTCCCCATGTCAATATATTTTATTATTTAGGAGGAATTACACTTACTTGTTTTTTAGTCCAAGTAGCGACGAGTTTCACTATGACTTTTTATTATCGTCCAACCGTTACAGAGGCTTTTGCTTCTATTCAATATATAATGACTGAGGCTAACTTTGATTGGTTAATTCGATCAGTTCATCGATGGTCAGCAAGTATGATTGTCTTAATGATGATTTTTCACGTATTTCACGTGTATCTCACTGGTGGTTTTAAAAAACCTCGCGAATTGACTTGGGTTACAGGTGTAGTTTTGGGTGTATTGACTGCATCCTTTGGTGTAACAGGTTATTCCTTACCTTGCGACCAAATCGGTTATTGGGCAGTCAAAATTGTAATGGGTGTACCAGACGCTATTCCTGTAATAGGATCCTCGGTGGTAGAGTTATTGCGCGGCAGTGCTAGTGTGGGACACTCTACCTTGACTCATTTTTATAGTTTACATACTTTTGTATTACCTCTTCTTACTTCCGTATTCATGTTAATGCACTTTCCAATGATGTGTAAGCTAGGAATTTCTGGTCCTTTATAGAGAATATGAATCATAGAGATTTGTAATCAATCATTTTGGAGAAGAGTAATAGTATTTCATTGCTACAAATATGAATTATTTTTTTTAATAAGACATGTATTTAGATATTTTCCTTTAACTTAACAAAATAAATTGGATTCTTTATTTTAAATACACAAATAGTTGAAGGGAACTCTCCGAAAAAGAATGGATTATGGGAGTGTGTGACTTGAACTATTCATTGGGCCATGCAGATATATGACTTGATCTTATCTTCCATATTTGAATTCACAATGAAATGTGTCTTTGTTCCAACCACCGCGTCAGTCCTCTACAGAGGATAGTTTGGTTCGCTTGAAGGTAATCTTTTCTATGATCAGACTCGATCATATCCTGCATGAACAGGCTCCGTAATATCCAGTAAAAAAAGGAATATGATATAATCTAGATTATGTTGTATGTATTTCATTATACTTACATAGTATGGAAATGCATTCATTTCCTATGCATTGACTCAATTTATGATACTATCAGAGTTAAACAAGTAGATCTAAAGAAAAAAGGGGTTTGTATTCTATTAGTAACAAGTAAATCCTTTCTATGTCAAAAATTCCAAAATTCATTTTTCGAGGTATAATAGGCGAAAGGTTTGAGATCACCCAGAAAGAACTTTTGATTTTTATTTTCACACTTACTTGGGTGAAAAGCATTTACTTAAAAATAAGAACTGAATTTTTTGCAATGAATAGTTGTAACTTCAGAAGAAAAAAAATTCAACCCGTTTTATTACATAGAATCATGATATATGAGTGACTCATATCTACAAAAAAATTTATGTCTACATTCAGTTGGTTTGATTCGTGTTCGAGCCGGATGATGAAAAATTATCATGTTCGGTTCTTCCAGAGGATGGATCTATAAGAATTCACCTATCCCAATAACAAAAAAAATGTGACTTGAATGATCCTGTTTTAAGAGGAAAATTGGCCAAAGGGATGGGTCATAATTATTATAGCGAACCCGCATGGCCTAATGATCTTTTATATATTTTTCCAGTAGTTATTCTGGGTACTATTGCCTGTAACATAGGATTAGAGGTTCTCGAACCATCAATGATTGGGAAACCCGCAGATCCGTTTGCAACTCATTTGGAAATATTTCCCGAATGGTATTTTTTTCCCGCATTTCAAATACTTTGTACCGTACCCAATAAATTGTTGGGCGTTCTTTTAATGGTTTCAGTACCAGAGAGATTATTAACAGTACCTTTTTTGGAGAATGTTAATAAGTTCCAAAACCCATTTTGACGTCCAGTAGCAACAACCGTCTTTTTTATTGGTATTGTCGTGGATCTTTGGTTGGGTATTGGAGCAACATTACCTATTGAAAAATCCCTAACGTTACGTCTTTTTTAAATTGATTCTATTGTAAAATATCATGACAAGTGTATTGTGTTGTGTATCTAGGGAAAATTCACTTTGAAATGACTAATCCCTAGATACATCTATTTCATTTTAGACCTATTTTGAATATATTGATTTGTGCTAAAGATTCAAATTTCATATTTGAACCTTTCTTTTTATAAAAATGAAAGATTAAAAAAAATCCAATAGATTTTCAATTTATACAAAATGCTTTTTGATTTGTAAAATTTTTAATATATTTTTTAAATCTTCTACGCAAAAGTGTTCAATTTTCATAAGGTCTTCTTGACTGTTATTCAAAAGTTCCAATACTGTATGTATATTGGAATTTTTAAGACAATTATAGATCCGGGGAGGAAATTCTAATTGGTCAATAAAAATAGATTTCAATGTAATTTCTTTTTTATTTTTCCTTAGTTTATCCTTAACCAATCTATCATGAAAAGTAATAAGGGGAAAAGTAATTTTGTGTTGATTGTTTTCAAAATTTAAGTTTTCTTCTTCTGCATGTAAAAAAGGAATAAATAAATCAATCAAATTCCGGGAGGATTCATAAAGTGCTTCCTTAGGAGTTAAACTTCCATTTGTCCATATTTCGAGAAATAATATCTCTTGCTTTTCATTTACATTCACATAAGAATGAATACTATGATTTTCATTGCATTTCTAACAGGCGTGAATACAACATCTATAGTATAACTTCCATCTTGAATGTTGTTTAGTAATTTTATACGATAACCCCGCTTTCTATCAATATGTAATTCAATACACAAATTAATAGGTTGTGTTAGGTTAGCTATATGTTGTGTATCATCAATGACTTCCACCGAAGGTGGTAAAATGATGTCTTGAGCAGTTACATATCCAGGATCTTTGAAACAAATAGACGCATCTCGAGTTCCATACAGATTACTTCTCAGTACAACTTATTTTAAATTCATTAAAATTTCATGTATTGATTCTTGAATACCTATTATGGTATAATATTCATGTGGTATTTTCTCAAATTTTGCACGTGTGATACATGTTCCCTCTATTTCTCCGAGCAAAATTATTTGCAATGCAATGCCTATTGTATCAACTTGACCTTTCATAAGTGGAGACATAATAAAGCATCCATAATAAAGACGCTTATTGTCTACCCTTGATTCAACACACTTCCACTGTAGTGTCTGAGTAGATACTTTTAGTTTTTCTCGAATCATAGTAATATGTTTTTATGAAACTCTTGATTTAATTGTTTATTTCTCTTAAAATCTTTTTCTTTAATATTTATTGTTAGTTTTACACACGCCTTTTTTAGAAGCCCTACATCCATTATGTGGCATAGGGGTTACATCCTATATAACCCTTAATCATATCCCACTTCTATAAATACCTCTTAATGCCGCCTCTCTTCCTAGACCGGGACCTTTTATCATGATGTCTGCTTGTTGCATGCCTTGATCGACTATTGTTTGAATAGAATTTCCCGCTGCGGTTAGAGCGACAAATGTTGTCCCCCTTCGTGTACCCTTGAATCCATATGAACCGGCAGAGGACCAAGAAATCACCCGACCTCTTACATCTGTAACAGTCAAAATGGTATTGTTGAAACTATCTTTAATATAAATAACCCCCTTTGGTATTTTACGAGGATGCTTACGTGAACCAATACGTCCAGTTTTACGTGAACCAATTTTTGGTATAGATTTTTCCATGTTTTATTATTTTTAAAAATATAAGTCTGAAATATATGGATATATCCATTTCCTGTCAAAAAAACTATTCTTAACTATTTTCCATCTAGTTATTCTATTGTATTCTATAATTCAATTAATATAGAATACCATTTTCAAATATCAAGCAATAAGCAATTATATTTATAAGAATACTTATAACTATAGACTATATTCGAATATAGAATCTATATTTTTAGATTTCGTATTTAATAAAATGGAATATTCATAAGATTTTTTATTTGAATTGTAATAGAATTCAAATAAAAAATATTATGAATAGAAAGCCCTTTTTTATTTTAATATTATCCTTGTCTTTGTTTATATTTTAGATTGAAACATATTACTGTAAGTCGACCTCGCCTACGGATCAATCGACATTTTTCACAAATTTTACGAATAGAGGCCGCCACTTTCATATTTTTCACTCCTTAAGTTAAATTGAATACCAATTTTATAGATTGCAAGAAAATAGAGATTCCTTACATTTTTAACTTCAAATTGTTCCTCCTAAAAATTATGTTGAAGTTATAAAATAGTCTAATCGAATGGAGTCAGCTATACTTCCTTTTTTGGTCGCATCTAGTGGAAACATAACCTAGAATCTGATTTGAATTTTATTTCTCTAAAGCAACCTGCAACATACCCTCAGAAGTTGTTGATTAATTTAATCTTCATTTCTGTTCTAGTTAAAACCTCTTCCCATATTCACTAATGTATCATGAATAATATTAGAAATCTGTTTTTTCTCTACTCCCTCCATTCACAATATTGTTGGCTCTAAGTTTTTTTTCATATAATTCAAATATCAGCAAAATTAGCATTACCATATATAACATAAAACTTCTCCCCCAATTTTTTCTAATCGAGCCTCTCGATCTGTCATTATACCCCTAGAAGTAGAAAAAATTACAATCCCCATCCCTCCTAAAACTTTCGGAATTTTTTTATACTTAGAATATATTTGTAGACCAGGTGTACTGACCCTTTTTAAATTTAAAAAAGTTTTATAGGATCCTTTCCTATTTCTTCTATACCTTAGAGTTAAAACTAAAAAGTATTTGTTGGTTTCTCGATGTTTTTTGACGTTTTCAACAAAACCCTCTCGTAAAAGAATTTTTATAGTGTTTTCGGTGATATTAGTAAGTGATATTTTAACAGTTATTTTTCTATTCATGTCAGCATTGCGTATCAAGGTTAGTATATCAGCGATAGTATCTTTACCCACGATAGATTTTTGCTCCTGACTTTTGATATAATCAACGTACTCCAATTTTTTGATTTTTGATTTTTTGATTCAATCAAATCTTTCATATTGAATATGAGAACAGAATAATACTCTATATGTATAGAAAATTTGATTGTAATTAGGATAATCTAAATATAGAATATAGAATATTCTAAAACTAAAAAAAGATAGAAACAAAATGAACGAGTGACCTATTCGAAACTATATAAATAATCTTATATTGAATTCGAATTCTATTTTTTTATATAAATAGAATTCGAATTTTCATTTTAAATATATTGAATTGAATATATAATATATATTTCATTCGTATTCTAATATATTTCTTATTCATTCAAGTCATAAATAATATATCTATATCATGATCTCTTGTTATAATACCTTAGGTGCTAATGAAACTATTTTAGTGAAATTTAACTGTCTCAATTCTCGAGCTATTGGGGAAAAAACTCGAGTACCTTTTGGAGTTCCTTCTTTCTCAATGAGAACCGCCGCATTATCATCATACTTTATTATTATTACATTATGACGTTTTAGTTCTTTACAAGTATGTACAATTACAACTCTGATGACTTGTGATCTTTTAAAGATGAATTTGGCACTGCTTTTTTGATTACAACAACAAAAATGTCACCAATATAAGCATACCTTCGATTACTAGCTCCTATGATTCAAATACACATCAATTCGCGTTCTCCGCTATTATCGGCTACATTTAAATAGGTTTGAGGTTGAATATTATCCTTTTTTCTTATCTTTCAGTTTCAGACAAAAAGTTGAAGTAAAAAAAATATTTTTTGTTAAAAAAAATGGAGAATTGCCTTTTTTCATAATAAAGATCTATTTCGCTCTAATGATTATTCGAAAAGAATGAATTGAGTTCGTATATGAATTTTGGATGCCGCTATTAAAATCACCTTTCTAGCGATATTTTCTAGAACACCTCCCATTTCATAAAGTATTTTGTCGGGTTTAACAACAGCTACCCAATATTTGGGCGATCCTTTTCCCGAACACATACGCATTTCGGTAGGTCTTACTGTATCAGGTTTGTCTGGAAATATGTGTACCCATATTTGTCCACCCCGGCAAACATTTCGTGATATTTCCTGTCGACCCGCTTCTATTTGTCTAGATGTGATCCAAGCGGGCTCAAGTGCCTGAAGAGCATATTTTTTAAAGCAAATTTGACTACCACAAGAGGATTTTCCTTTCATTCTTCTTCTATGATGTTTGTGAAATCTCGTTCTTTTTGGGTTATAGTTGATGTTTATTTCTCAATTTCATCTCTATTACAGAACCGTACATGAAATTTTCACCTCATACGGCTCCTCGCGAATAAATCGATTGAAAAATATTGAATCGAGAAAATAATAATAATTACTACAGTAAGATACATATGTTTAATAAAATTAAATAGAATATAATCGCGTGATTTTTTTTACTTTTAATAGAATCTATTGATCTATTAGAAATTTTTTAATCTTGCTTTGATATATAACGAAATATGTATTCTTATAGACCATTTTTGCTATCCGTATCTAACTAAATAATATTTTTGGATATAAAGTTCTAACAAATCAGTATTTTTCTTTTATTATCATCATATTGGATTGGCAAAAATTTATCAATTCCAAAAAAATCCACATTTTCGCGGGCGAATATTTACTCTCATTATAAATTAATTAAATTGAAGATTTAACGTAGGGTTAGTCCACAACTCCTCAAAAAAGAATAAATTCTTAGTTCCTTCCGCCACCCCATCTAATGAATCAGTAAGATTTAAAATTTTAATATAATTTTTTGTATTCACAGGTTCCGTTGTTCCCATCGCTTTTCAATTTATGGTTAGGTCTAAATTTTACAATGGAGCCTTTTTAATAAGATTCAATTTTTTTTTAAATTTTCTTATTTTATTCTCTTTTTTTTTTGAATCAACCTTCTCAGTTTTCTTGATTCATGGCTCTTGATTTGTTTATTCTAGAAATATATTCATCAATATATGGATGAATTTTGAAGATTGATGCTTTATTACACTACTTTTAAAGCGTACGACTATGTATCATTGGATCACTTACATGCAAGCTTTATTACCAAAGTCGAAATTTCAAAAGGTTCAATCAACTTATTCTGATGGCAAGGGATGAGATATTCAAAGGCATAGGGGAAATAGTGGAGTTGGAACCCAATGAGATCACTTCCACATGGCTATATATATGTTTTCACTTTGTACTCTTCCATTTCACTACGACTTCCTCTTACAAGGATTTCTATCTCTTTGTACAAACTCGCCTGTTTATAGGCAAATTATCAATACAAATATACTTTAAAGTTCAAACTTTTTGTTTTTTATGTTTTGCTTGCAAAAAGGTCCAATGACTAAAATTGAATGAGCATATGCATATGAACATGATTAAATGTTAACAAATATACACAAGAATATGATTAAACATTTACTCAAAACCCTAGGAACTGGGATGCCACTCAAGCTGTCCATAAATCCCCAGAGTCCATGTCATAAGATTATCCCCAGTGAAGTCGCCAGAGCCACTTCTATGAAATTATCCCCCCATTGATTAGTATTCAAAAATAAGGGTACATTCCCCACAATCTCCCTGGCAGACTGCATCAAAAAATAAAGGAATATAATCTCCTCCCCGTGAAATTTCCCCACGGAGTCCTAATTAGTACATTTCATGGAAATTCTCATCCCCAACCGAGTTTGTTCCTCCAAAACTGAAGAAAGAGACCCTGCAGAGTTTCGTCTCTTTAGAAAATTCAATCTCCCCAAGATATTTAGTTTCTTCAACATAACACTTCTCCATGAACAAGGGTTTATTTCCCTAACAACCTACAAAGTCCCCAGCTAATCACTGACAAAATTCTTCTCCCTAGTAAAGTTGCCACTATCCCTAGAGACTTGCTGCAAAACCTAGAATCGAACCCGATGTTAGTTAAGAATTATCCTCCCCAGACGAGTTAGAAGTTTAACCATCTCTTTTATCCACGGTCAGGATATATAAGAAATAAACTCCCCAATAGAGCAACATACGACCAATGTTCCTTAACTCTACTTCCCAAACAAAAATCAATACATCCCTTGCAGATACACATACTCTTCATCCCCAACAATAGTCAGGGATTTGTTTTCCTAGACAAAGATACACTTCAACAACATAACACATTCATACATCATAGCATATGAATACGAAACACATATAGCACAATCTCATTTATTTCGAGAACATCACTACGCAATGCATTTCATACATTATGACATTGCATACAACTAACTCTTAACCCTTTCAGGAAAGAATCAATTGACAGACCGATATCATAAACAAATCCTCAAAAAAACAAATTGTAGGTCACTCCCTGAAACAAAACAAGGCAAATATCTATATGATGGATACTCCTTTCAAACATATGCTGGCTCAGATTAAATCGACCAAAGATTTGTTCTGATAACTCTCTCAATAGACCTTTTTCTGGCTCGGGTTAAATTGACCAAATATTTGTTCTGATACTTCTCTCAGTTAAATATTTTCAAGAAATCTGCTATCTTATATTAAATCAAATAAAGATTTATTCTGATACTTCTCTCAATAAACCTTTTTTTGGCTCAGATTAAATCGACCAAAGATTTATTCCTATACTTCTCTCAGTAAAAGATTTTCAAACATCTGCTAGCTCAGATTAAATCAACCAAAAATTTATTCTAATACTTCTCTCA